AACCTTTGATTAACTATAGTCAATTTTAACTAGTGTAAAGAGGTTTAGTACTAGGTTAGTAATTTTAGATTAAAAGCAAGGGTAGTATAGGTATTCTTAGGTAGAAAACAATGTTGTAGGTGAAACTAGAACACCCTAGACTCTTCTAGAATAGGGTCTTAGTTCTAATTTCAGAAGCTTAGGGCAATAACTTGAGAAACAAGTCAAAACATTAAGGGCTATTGAATAAAAACTGAAAATAAAAAGGGGGAAAATGGGTAAATGAAATCTAGAAGCTTCTTCCCCCTTTTCTGCCTATAAAAGGCAGTATACCTACCTTCCTTCACAAGTTCGAACACCTGAAAAAATTCCCAAAAAGTTCCAGCTTTTAAAAATCCCCCCAAAATATTTTCTGCAAGTTCTAGCATCCAAAAATTTGAATTTCAAATTCAAATACTAAAAATCTGAACTCAAAAGTTCAAAATTTCATCTCAGATTCAGTTTCTCTTCAGAAAACCAAAAAAAAGAAGAGTAAAAGCAATAGAAACTACAAAAAACACTGTTCTATTGGAATTTCCTAGGACAATCTCAAAATATTTTAGGTGTTAATTCACATTCATAGCATAGGAAGGATAAAAATGGCTTGAAGGTCCTGGTACTTGGCTACTGAAGTCGCAGAAGTAATCCTGGGTTAAATTTCAAGTTTGTTAGGTTCTATCGGGTCTATTTTGAGTTTTTGTTGGTGTTGTTTCTCCTTTATTCATTCCTGGACTTGGTGATGCTGTTTGGATTCAAAACTGATCCTACATTGTTGATTTCATTGCTGATTCCTGTTGCTGTACTGCTGAGAAATTGCTGACCCTACCTTCTTCTCTTGTTTGCTTTAATTCCAGGTACACTCCCTGTAGATCTCAAGTGTTGGAAATGAAGGAATGAAATGCTGTTTATTTGCTTTCCCTTGTTCAAACTCATACTATAGTTAGCTAGATTCAGAATTTTACTATATTTTTCGTGTGTAGTCAATTAAGGACTGCTTAGAATTATGATATGGTGACAATTACGCTAGAGATTAATTCGTCAGTACATTGTGGTTATTTGTATTGGACTATTGAAATAGGCTGGACTTGTAGGAGCATTATAATGTAGTACTAACTGTAATGTAGTAAACGTCAGTTGAGTTACTAGATTAGTTTGAGGTTCGAATTTAGATTAAGGTATTATTTGGTTTAAGAAGCTGTGCTTCAGGTTTATAAATCTGCTATTAGCCATAGTGCATTTAAATCCAGTATAGCTACTAGTTCTAGTTGAGTTATAGTAATTGATAAAAAACAAGTATCAAAATGAGTAAAATTTGTAGTTCAATTTGAATCCCAGTTACAGTAGTTCAGTTTTCACATTTTCATTTTGAATCAAAGTAGCATTTCAGTATAAACACTTCAGTTATCTACTTCTTCGAAATGTGTAGGAATTTGTTAATGCAAATTAGAGCAAAATTTAAAAAGGTTAATTTAATAGTCATTTGACCAACTGGATTAGAATTTTCCCTCTCCTTGATATCCCCAACTATTGAATACGTTTGGGCCTCAGTATCACTGAGGCATGGCCCAGTTCCAACCTTCCCCATCTCACTAATTGGGCCTGCGTTGAGGCCCAGAGCTGGTAACAGCTCAACAAAATGACAGACTGTGTTTATATTATGTTGGGCCAAGTTCAAGATTCGAAGGCCTGAACGAACATTAAATCTGAGATTAATTTTGGCGACATAGGTTTTGGGCCTTCTAGTTAAGTAGCATACTTGAATTAAGAGGTTTACCTCTTATTCAAGTGTGGACTTGAACCGGAGCCCAAATTCCTTGATCACTTTAAATAAATAGTATTAGTAATATTAACTTATTAGGACCCTTTAAAGACAAACCCAGTAGAAAATCATAGTTTGCCCTAGGATGGCCTTTAAATAATAAAATGAGGTGAGCCGCACCAAATAAAATGCATAAATTGTGTGGCCCTCTTTAATTGTTTATATTAAAATACTTAGAATTCGGGACCTGCCGTTTAGCGAATTTTCACGGCCTCCCGCGAAGTTAATAACACGTTAGTCGCTTTAGGCGCGCTTTTTAATAATTTTACCTTCCTAAATACGAGTGTGCATTTTATGCGACCCAAATCCAAATCCCAAAATGTTGAATAAGAATGTGTCGAGGATCCGGCTGCATTTCATGCGACGTAGTCCAAAAACACGTTTTTAAACGACGTTCACTTTCTTAAAAAATTTAACTAAAAGCGGTAAATAATTTTAAAATTGCACTACAGGATAACATGTCAGATTTTAGCCATTTATGATAATTCAAGCGACCGTGCAAGAACTACGGGATCCGGGGGTGCCTAACACCTTCCCTCGGGTCAACAAAATTCCTTATTCAGAATTTCTGGTTCGCAGACTCCAACTGGGAAGTCGAAATTTTCCTCGATTTGGGATTCAAGTTAAACCGGTGACTTGGGACACCAAAAGCCAATCCTATCCCAAGTGGCGACTCAAAAAAATAAATAAATAATCCCATTTCGAATAATGTCACTTTAAATGGAAAAACTCCCTTATACATTATCCCTCGGGGTAGGTGTGTAAAAAAGGAGGTGTGACAATAGCCCAACTCGCCCATACATTTGACACCTATAGTATCATGGAATTTTTACATTCCTATTCCATATAGGAAACTATATTACCCTAAATATTTAAGGTTTGATTTAATTACAGTTAGTATACCTAATTACCAATTCTATACCATAATGTGTTTTAACTGTACAATTAATATACCGTATATCACTCCTTAATTGATGCTACCGTATATTCCTCCAAATCCCCACACCCCCCACGTTTCTCTCTCCCAAACCCATCCCCACGTTAATGAATTTGAATATGAATATCATCAAATCATCCACTTCTTCAAACAACAAGAGCAAAACCAAGGAAGAATGGCAGCAATATAAGAAGTACTCAAAATGCAGAGGAACAACAGAACAATTGCAGATACTTAGGCGTAAGGAGAAGGCCATGGGGTAGATATGATGCGGAGATGAGAGATCCGAATACGAAAGAATTCAAATTTGGATTTTCAAAAATCATTATTTGTTTTGACTGGGTGTTGTTGTAAATAATTTGGAATATGTTTTGGAGTTTATATCTCAATTTTGAGGGGTTTTAGTGAAGATTTAGACTTGGTTTTGGCTGAATTTCAGATTGAAACTCGAAGAAGAAGAAGAAGAAGACATATTGCAGAAATTGTAGATAAGTTGTAGATAAATTGTAGATTGTTTTTTGCAGAAGATTTGTAGAAGTTTTAGTCGTTTTTGATTTGTGAAAACAGAAAACAAAGCATCTACAATTAGAATGCAAATAATCTACAATTTATCTACAAAATATCTACAAACTGTGTACATTGAATTTTTATATCCCAATTCCCATTCAATTGTAATATAATTGTGATTTTTGAAATAATTGCGTTTTTTCAGAAGATTTGTAGAAGTTTTAGCCGTTTTTATTTGTGAAAACAGAAAATAAAGCATCTACAATCAGAATACAAATAATCTACAATTTATCTACAATTTCTGCAATATGTCTTCTTCTTCTTCTTCTTCGAGTTCCAATCTGAAATCCAGTCCAAATAAAGTCTAATCTTCACCAAAATCCCTCAAAATTGAGATATAAACTCTAAACCATATTCCCGATTATTTTCAACAACACCCAATCCAAACGAATAATGATTTTTGAAAATTCAAATTTGAATTCAAAGCTTTCAAGCTTTTTAATGACTGTCAATGGTAGAAAATATATGGAAGAATATTTACTTCTATAATTGTAGCGCGCCTAAATAGGAATATGTGGAAGAATATTTAGTTCCAGATTTGTAGCGCGCCTAATTAGGAAGGAATCAACTCTTAATAATTGGTATTTAATGAATGGTATATATTTTGTAGAATAACTATGAACATGGCGGGTAAATATAAAACTATGCATATTTTTGATAATAAGGTTTCATATATGGTATATGAAGGATAAATTTACCTGTATCATTGTGTCCTAAAATATTGTTATTCAATATTTTTCTTTACTTTCTTATGAATGCTATCTCGTTTGGAGAATTTTTAGGAAAAGCTTTTAGATGAATAATCTGAATGTTTGTGCAAAAAAAACTTATTGGGATGGTTCTGTTTTTTTTTTTTTTTTCCTTTTCAATGTTGTGAGTTTCCTCTTCTTCTTTTTTATTTATGTTATCTTTTTATAAGGAAAAGGCACTTTCCAACTTAGTATTTTCTAAAAATCTCAAAGAAAAAAAAATGGAAAAATTATCTGAGCAAATCTTTTTGAGACTTTTCAAAGTGTTTAAGAAAATTTCCACATATAGAAAAGTTGCACGCATGACATTCTCATCTTATATTCCTATTTGAATATAGTATATCATAAATTCAAAAAGTCATGTCCTCTCTCGGTCCTGTTGAGTGGCAATAAGCTGCGTTTGGAGAACTTTTTGGATAAATGTTGTGAAGAAATAATTGTGCAATATTCTGAGTGTCTCCAAATATTTTTGTTTTAAAAAAAAAATAAGAACAGGCACTTTCAGACATTAAAAATTCCTAAAAATCTCAAAAGAAAAACTCAATTAATTTGACCGACCAAATTTTTTGAAGACTTTTTAAGAAACTTTCCACTATTAATATGGACGTGTACAGCTCAATAAGATTTTGTAATATATCTCAAAAAATGAGAAAATATTTGAACTTAATTATATAATGCATGAACCTTTTGCTGTCAATTGACTTGGAAAAAATTACTAATTGGGGTATACTAATTATTTAGATTAATATTTCAAAAGGGTGATTGTCAATGTCATATATAGCTAAAATTCAAACACTAAAAAATTTTGGGAAATAAAGAAAATGTAGTTTGAACAAGTGAGGGTGCACTACACACCTCAGACTTGAGTTATAAATTACGATAGAAAGTTGACAACCAAATTTCCATTAGCTCTTCTGTATTCTTCTACGTCTAAAGAGATTTATATCATATTATCAAAAGAATTTGAAGCAAAAAATAAAGAAATTGAAAATGTCTGAAAGGGAAGACAATTCAGGGCTTCTTGATCATCTACTGGAAAAGAATGAAATCTACGATAATTTTCAAGATAATGCTGAAAATTCAAGTACTGGTTTTCTACAAACCAAAGACTCCAAGTATGTTAATTACTCCTGTTTTCAATATTATGTTCAATTTCCTCAGTCTTGATTAATTCCCTATTCTTTAATCCAGAAACATAATTAGTTAATTTCATGACTGTTTAACGAAATGAACAAGAAAGTGATGCAATTTCACTTACAACTTGTTTGAATGGTTGTTACCTGTTGTATTGTATCATTAAATCCGTCGTTACGTATGATAAAAAGTGTCACTTTATGAAATGATCGATTTGGTGTGGTCGCGTCATTACCTTATTTTTTTTTTCTCATCTTGCCATTTTTTATAATTAAATAATCTTATTTTATCCTTTACTCTACTTTTTTATATAATAATATTTCCTCGTACCTTATTTTTTAAATAATATTACAAGTTTATTCTTCATATTGTTGGTGCATGACATTATGAAACTACGTCAAACAATACAATATATCCAAATATTGTATACATCAAAACAATATATACAATACAGTACAATACTATACGATACATAATGAAAAATTAAAATGTATGTATTGCGTAATTTGAATTGATCTTAATTTCTTATATTAATGGCAGAGGTGAGTCTCCTGTTGCACATTGCGTCATGGGAACGGCGTGGGTTTATAGAGATGAAAATGGAAAACAGATTTTTGAAAAGCAATTAACTGAAGATGACATTACTAGTGATCACTTACAGATTCCCAAGAGAATGGCGAATTATATACAGAGTCTGGAATTACAACGCGCTGATCCTGGAGAAAAATACTGGGAAATGGATTTACAATTGGATAATTGGGGCGATCGTGAATGTCAATTCACTGGACAGTGGAAGGAATTTGTCAATGAAAATAAGTTGAAAGCTAAAGATTTGGTGGTAATTGAGATTTTTAATAACGAAAAGCGACTTAAAATTGGATGCAGTTCAGACCAAAAAGCTATTAACTTGAACAATCCTGTATTCCTCAGGCGTTTGTCTAGAGCTGATGTTAAAGGACTATATGTAAAAAAGTTGCGCGAACAATATTCCTATGATGGTAATACTGGATTAATAGAGATAGAACCAGTTATTGAGATGAAATTATGTTCTGATATTGTGTACAGATATGGTGGTACTAATGGTGTAATGTTCATACAATTACCAAAGAAAGAAGTAGACAAAAAAATGGGTCGCGATCTTTCTCTTCCTGCAGTTGGCGGAGAAATAGCGCTACCTTTATTTGATCCAGTGGGAAACAATGTAGTGGAGATGAAATTGGTGCATACTGAGAAGGATGAATATCATGTTGGAGGAGAATGGGAAATATATGCTGCTAAATATGACTTATTAATGTCCGATACCATTTTTCTTGACAAGGTAACTGTACATCGCGATCATGATCATGATCATGATCATGAGCTGAATAATCCAACTACTGCAAAATTTTCCTATCATTATGAAATCACATACCAGAGACGACGAGGGACGAGTGATCAGAGCAGTTTGGCAGCTGCAGCTGCTACTGTACTTGATAATAATATCAAGGATAACGGCGTTAATTCTTGTATAATGTTGTAGCTGGTAATGTGACTAATGTCAGTACCTTGATTTTCCTGCTAACTAACAGAAGAACATTATGTGATTCTAATACTTTAGTAGTATTATGTGCTGTTATATGTCTTGCTCAATTATTTGTTTTGTCTGAATGTCAAACGTCTTTCAGAATTGATCAAGATCCCAATGTAATAGCCAAATTGTTTTCATCTTTTCTTGTTACTAAATCCCTATAGCTTCAGGCTTCAAGCACCCTATAACAAATTTTTGCCACTACTGCTAAGAGTTTGAGAAGGGGAGCCTTGGCGTAACTGGTCAAGTTGTTGTCATGTGACCGGGAGGTCACAAGTTTGAGTTGTAGTAATAACCTCTTGCAGAAAGGCTGCGTCCCTTGTGGTCCGGCCCTTACCCGGACCCCGCGTATAGCGGGAGCTTAGTGCACCAAGCTGTCCTTTTTTCTTACCGCTAAGTTTTTTGTGTTTCTAAGTTCTAAGTCACAAGAGTATTGTAATATATTTCTCCATAAAGCTTTGATACGAAAATTAATTATGTATGCTATTTCTAGCTTTTCTTGATAGCTTATTGCAATTTTGAATACGGAAAACCTTCCCCCCAAAATAAAAGGAAAATGAAAAAAGTGGGGAGGAATGTGTAAACAGGTTTCTAACTAATTACAACTTTTTGAATTTCAGTTGTAGATAAGATGACTTTAGAGCCTAAAATGGCAACTGCTTAACCTCAAGAGACCTGATTGCCGTTCCTTGTTTTCTTTGTAATTATTTAATTTCTTGGCCATCATTGGAAGTTAACAGACAACTAGCAATGGGAAATTAAAATTGGTTGCTAAACAAGTTATGACTAGATTTTTTATGTAACCAAAGTGATTTAAGGACCAAACTGGAATCTAGTCGTCAATACATGTTGTCGATCTTAATTTACGTATAGCGACCATATTTAAACCTTTTTACCCATCAAATTTCCCCTCAATAGTTTTCTTGTTGTGAATATGTAAGGCGTTGAATCATACTCTCCTAAAATTTTCTTTTCTAGTAAAATTAAGCAATAAAAAACAATGTATATTAATAGAGTAAAAGGCCAAAAAAGGGTGAACGGGGGTAAGTAATGCAGCATACTACAATATCAATACACTAGTATATAGTTGAGTTGATTATTCAAATTTGAATGCCCTGTTCTTTCTCATTTTTCCCTCTCATGCCTTCCTATCGTCAAAGCTGGTACAACTTTCGTCCGTCATTTCATTATTGATTTGTTACCTTAGTCTTAAATTCTTTGATTCAGTTCTAGCAACTAAAAGATGCCACCCACCCCCCCTCCCCCCTCCCCCCTCCAACCCATTTTTCGAGACGTGTCATTCTTTTTTAATTGAATAAAAAGAAAATAATATCATATAAAATGGAACAAATCAGAAATATATATCTAAAGTAAATAAGAAATAAATATTTCAACAAAGTATGTCTATGCAGATGAACATCAATGTACTAAAACAGCAGTCCAACATAAACTAGAGCTAGAAATCAGCAACAAATTGATAAAACTAAAGATCTAGCTAGTAGATAAGTGAAACAAGAAAGACCAAAAGGGGAAGAGCATAAAGTTGTTGAAAGAGTGCCCATGTGGTAGCCGATGCTGCAGAATAATCATTGATTACATCCTGTACCAGAACCCTAACGATCATACGCTCTCCTCTCTCACAATGTCCTGCTGCCCCGCTCACGAAATAAAAATAGCCTGAACGATCCAATGTGAACATCGTGTTTCCATTGTTGGAAAAGAAATGGGGGCGAGTTGAGTTGCATTTCTTGTATTCATTCTCTGTCACCTCCATCACTGAGTCCTTCTTGTACTTGAAACCTGAATTCCAACACTTCAGTACTGCTACTTCATGAATTGTACATATTTATACAACTTCTATATATGAGGTAAATCTTTACTCCCCCTCCGTCTCATGTTATCAGACGTGGTTACTAAAAATAGTTGTCTTAAATTATTTGGCGTTTTAGAAGTTCAACACAAAATTAATTATTTTTTTTCCTTTTTTACCTTTAGTATTGATTGTTCTTGAAGGTCTTTCTGAGCCGAGGGTCTATCGGAAACAACCTCTCTGCCCTATCGGGGTAGGGATAAGGTCTGTGTACACGTTACCCTCTCCAGACCCCACTTTGTGGGATTTTACTGGGTAGTTGTTGTTGTTGTTGTATTAATTGTTCTTGAAGATGGAGATAACACATAAATAAAATAAATGTAAAATAGTCTAATTAATCCCTCCTAATTAATGTTTCTTAAGAGGCGTGTAAAAGAGAAACACGACAGATAATTTGACACGGGGATTATATACTTATGGTGTAAAACATTTGTTCTATCATAGGTTACGTAAAGTTCAACTACAACTAACTGTCTAATTGGTAACATAGAAATAAGGCAAATAACATGTTAAAAGCAATTAAAAAATAGTGATTCTTTAAAAGAAATAAATTTTTTTTTTTTGTAAGCATATATGTAGAGAATTTTACAGATACGGACATTATAAAGAAGTTATACTAACAATATTTCAAGTTACTATCTTGGACTTCTATATATGAGGAACGACATGCATGTTATTATAGGTTAATTTAATCTGATGCATAATGAAATTTATTCACTGTTCAGAGTACAAAACTTAAACCTAATTAATAACTTAAATCCTTTGTGTTAGTATGCTGCTATTTAATTACATGAAATTATTTGTGAGTTAAACAGTACTTACGAATGGTGTCGCCGATTTTGAACCTCATATTGGAAGCCCAATTGTTGTAAAAATTGGTGTCATTTGAGGGAGGAACTGCCCAACCAGTAGTGTCACCAACTTGAAATTCCAAGGAGGAGACATACACGACTTGATGAAGAGAAATCATCATTAAAATTGAGAAGAGCATGTTACGAGAGCATAAGAAAGCCATAATCAGAAGTTAGTTAATTATCACAGGCGGTAATTAATTAAGAGCTCAGGATGAAGAGGTAAATGCCGAAACAGAAAAGCTTTTTCAGAATGTGATATGATAATGAGAACTTTCGAAGGAATTAACAAATCTTTGTGTTTAGTAATCATAGGTAAGCAGTTATTACGAATATCAGTTAAATAGACGTGCACTACTTAACGTGGGTGAGAGGAAAAAATGGAAACGTGAAGGTGGTGGTGGCCTTAGTGGCTGACAAGGGTTATTAATAAAAGATTTTAAATTTTAATAATTTTTAACATTTGAGTGAGTTCATTGGATAAATTTTTCTCACTAAATTAAATAATACTATATTTACCTTCTCATCAATTTTATTTTTCTTCCTTTATATATAGAGGGTGTTTGGCTAAGCTTATAAGCTGGTCAAATTGGCTTATAAACACTTTTTGGCTTATCAACGCGTTTGGTAAAATTAAAAGTGCTTATAAGCCAAAAATAAGCCAAAAATAAGCCAAAAGCCATAAGTTGGTCTCCCCCAACTCATCAAATTTCAGCTTATAAGCAGTTTAAGTTTGACCAAAATATTTACTATTCTATCCCTAAAATACTTCTTTTTAAAACAAAACTCTTCGTATACCCAGTTCTTTAGCTGCATATTATTAATTTCAGCACTTTTATCCAAACACGTAACTGCTTATTTTTTAAATCAGCTTCAGCACTTAAAAGTGACTTTCAGCACCTAATGCTTATCAGCTACTCTAAATCAGCTAAGCCAAACGGGCTCATAGTCTTTTTTTCATGTTTTTCACGATTTTACTTTCTAATTTCAACTCAAGTTCTCTAAATTAACTCTTTCTTTTTGTCACATTTGATTGGTCCACACACCAGAAAGCTAACTTCTTTTATGTCTCATCTTTTTTAACTAAGAAATCCCCGAGACAAATGTCGCAAGGTTCAAAACACGATGGATAATGTGCTCACTCTATACCATTTTCACTTAAGGGAAAAACTCAATACCATATTACGTGCGCTTAACTCATATATCATGAGTTGTACTGTCACCACTAGATCAAAGTCATGTAGATTTTTTTGTGTCTCAATATTATATGAATTTTATAAAACAAGCTTCATGGCCTTTTTAATATATTTTGGTTTTAGCCCACCAGTTCTGTTGGGCCGTCCCTCATTGATGATCAACAACTATTTACAGACTACTGCCCCACCATGAACGTATTGTTCAACCAGTTTCATTCACATTTGGTAACTGAATGACACACTCACTGTCATTAATGTTCTTGTCATTATTGCTTTATCTTACGTGAGACTCTATAAATTTGATTGAGAATGTCAGAGGTGGACAAGTGGCTCTAGAAGGAGACTAGTAAAGCCTTGATTTAGGTCCCCAAAAATTTTTAATAACGGATTTTATTTTCAAATTAGACAATATTAATGTTTGTAGAAAAAATTAAAAAGTACAAAAATATTGTGAAAAGGAAAGAAAGGTGTCTACTTAAAAATATTTTAAAACTTTGAATTAAACTACTTAAATCTTCATATTACTATACATTTTTTTACAACAATATATGTGATGACCCAAGAGGTCATCTCTTGTTTTAGAAGTCAAATCTGTGTTCCGAGGCCTTAAAAACCTCCTTTTGTCTCACCTCGATTTGCGTGCGCAGTCCGGGCGCGTTTTCGAAAGCTTTTATGTAAAATTTAAGAAAAATATTGAATTTGGCCTTTAAAATTGATTAAAGTTGACTTCGATCAACATTTTTGGTAAACGGACCCGGACCCGTGATTTGACAGTCCCGTAGGATCCACATTAAAATATGGGACTTGGGCGTATGCCCGGAATCGAGTTCCAAGGTTCCTAGCCCGAGAAATATTTTTTTAAAGAAAATTGTTTGCTGGAAAATATAAGGATTTTTGGAAATGAAATGGTTTGTGATCTTGATGGTATCGGGCCCGTATCGTGGTTCCGGAGCCGCTACAGGTTTAAAATAATAATTAAGTCGAATATGTGAAATTTGGTAAGAATCGTAGTTGATTTGATATAAATCGGACCCTTAGTTAAGAAAATGGAAAATTTCAATGTTCTTAAGAATTTCATGAATTTGAGGTTAGATTCGTAGTTGTTTATGTTATTTTGATGATTTGATCGCACGAGCAAGTCCGTGTATTATTTTTAGACTTGCGTGCATGTTTCATTTAGAGCGCCGAGGGCTCGGCTGAGTTCTGGATAGGCCACAGAGTGATTCGAACTTGGGAAAAACTCAGCTGATGCATCTGGTGTTTTGCACAGGCCTCTGATCTCGCGATAGCGAGATCAGGATTGCGAGATCAGGCTTCGCAATTGCGAAGTGAGCAGGCCTAGGAAATGCGACATAATATCGCTAATGCGAACCAGGCCTGGGCAGGCCATCCTCGCAAATGCGACAGTTTGGCCGGAAATGCGAAGGTCACAGTTGTCGCAAATACGAAGGCAGCAGAGATTTATAGGGTTCGCAATTTGCGAACCCCTGATCGCAATTGCTATAACTACAACCTGTTAAGTGAGATTTCAGACGGGATTTCAACTTCATTCTTCAAAATTTCAAACCCTAAGCATCCTTAGGCGATTTTTCAAAGACTCAAACTTCTCCAAATCATAGGTAAGTGATTTCTAACTCATCTTCTATAATCTAATTAACCTTTTTACATGCTTTCACTTCAAAATCTAGGGTTTTGCATGGGAAATTGGGTGTTCTTGGGTAGAAATTAGGATTTTCAAGTTTTGGGGATTTGGACCTCAAATTGAAGTCGGATTTCAAAATCAATTGCATATTTGAGTTCGTGGGTGAATGGGTAATCAGGTTTTGGTTCGAACTTCGAGTTTTGACCAAGCGGGCCCGGGGTCAATTTTTGATTTTTGGGGAAAACATTGGGAAATCTTTATTCATGCATTAGAATTGGTTTATTTAGAATTTATTGATGTTGTTAAATTAATTTTGGTTAGATACGAGTGAATTGGTGGTGGAATCGAGAGGTAAAGCGGTGGTTGAGTGTTGAATTACCCGTTGGCTTGAGGTAAGTGTTTGGTCTAACCTTGACTCAAGGGACTAGGGATCCCCATCTTGTTTGCTATGTGAAATATCACGCGTGTGACGTATAGGTGTGGTGACGAGTACATGTGCGTCACCAAATTACTTGTTTAGCCCATTTCCTTTCCCCGTTTCCCTATATCTTACTTTCTTGCCTTAATTGCTACTTGCTCATAAATGTTTCCATGCCTAATTGCTTCATGTTAATTGTCGTTCGCTTTATTGAATTGTTTAATTATTTCATGTTTGCTGTTGATGTTCCCGTTGAAGTATTATTGGTTTGTAGCTTCATTTTATTACCTTGTTGGACTATATTCATTCATTGGTGCCTTATGGTGCACCTTGGTTGGTCTCGCTGAGTAGTTTTCGTTGGTGAAGTTTCATAATCGTAGTGATATTCCATTGTGTGGGTTGAGGTATAAGTAATGTGGGGGATTTGAGTTAGCTTGTGAAACTCTTGTCTTTATTCTTTTGTGTTTGGTGCTGGTATATTTATATTGGAATCGGGTTGCACGCCGCAACAAGGGGAAGAAGGGAGAATTGTGATTGTTTGGTGGGATTGGGTTGCACGCCGCAACAAGGAGTAATAAGGGTGGACAGGTGGGATCGGGTTGCGCGACGCAATAGGAGTAATAAGGGTGATATGTGCTGATGAGTAATAAGGGTGGACAGGTGGGATCGGGTTGCACGCCGCAACAAGGAGGACAGGGTGAATATTGATACTGTTGTTTTTTATATGAGTGGATCGGGATGCACGCCGCATCAGTTGTTGTTTTAAGTATTCATTTCTGCTGAAATTCATTACTGTGATGTGGAAACAACCTTAAGGATTGGTTCTAGCTGAATACTTGTAGAACCACTGGGTTCCAGATTTACTTTATGCCAGTTATTGCTTTAATACGTTCTGTATTTCCTTTCTGTTTATTATAAACTGTTGCAGGTTATATATATATATATATATATATATATATATTGTTATGCCCCGCCGTAGCCTCGTCACTACTTCGTCGAGGTTAGGCTCGAGACTTACCAGTACATGGGGTCGGTTGTACTGATACTACACTCTGCACTTTTTGTGCAGATTCTGGTGCTGGACCGTACGGACCATAGTTCGAGGTTGCAGCCTTTAGTCTAGTGGAGACTCGAGGAAGACCTGCAGGCGTCCGCAGGCCTTGGCGTCCCCCTCTATCCCGTTTCCTTTCTATTTTAACTACTTCCGAGACAGATGTGTATTTCTTTGTTCTAACTATTATTTATAGTATTCGTAGACGGTCCATGAGATTGTGACACCAGTTCTGGGTGGAGTTTTATTATGGTTTCGTAGTGGTATTAAGATAATCTATTAAATTCTGTTCTTCCGTATTTTATACTGCTGATTTACTTATGTTAACTTGTAAACTGTTAAAAGATAAAAGGAAAAGGCGAAATAATTTGTAACGTTGGCTTGCCTAGCGAGTACAATGTTAGGCGCCATCACGGTCCCGACGGTGGGAAATTCGGGTTGTGACAAGTTTGTATCAAAGCACTAGGTTGCTTAGGTCTCACAATTCACGGACAAACTTAGTAAAGTTAGAGGGATCGATACGGAGACGTCTGTGCTTATCCCAGAGGCTACAAATTTAGGAACAATTTCCCTGCTATTCATCTCTGTCGTGCGGTTTGATCTCTCAATGCTAATTGAACTCTCTACTCTGTTCTTTCGCAGATGGAGAGAACGCGTACCGCTTCATCAGCTGATCAGCAGCCCGAGCCCCCAATGGCAGCTCCTACGAGGGGCAGATGACGAGGTAGAGGTCGTACTAGAGGCCGAGGCAGGGGCAGGGCTCAGCCCATAGCTCGAGCAGCAGCACCAGCGGCGGAGCCTTAGGTTGAGTTTGACGATGAGGTTCCGGCCAAGACCGTTCCAGTAGGGCCGTCTCAGGTTCCAGAGGGGTTCATAGCTACCCCGGTACTCCAGGATGCTCTGGTCCGTCTAGTGGGTCTTATGGAGAGTGTCACTCAGGCAGGCATACTTCCAGTAGCACCAGCCGTCTCTG